ATGAAACCCTCCCCACAACAATTACTTAATGCCCCATCAGCAATCGAAAACGTCTGTACTCTGGACCACTATCTTGTGTAGGTATCTGCTTTTGTAGCCTCCCTGGATTGGGTCAGTGCCCTCAGGGCACCGAAATATTGCCTATTTCGGGAAACCCTTGGTTAGAGAGATAGAAACATCACCTTAAAATGGATGTATGTATGGATTGTGATAAGAATTGTATGAGCCCCCAATAAAAAGATTTAAAAAAACAAACAAAAAAAGCCCTATGCAGACCTACATGGAAAGTAATCAAGAGACAATAGCTTCACATTTTGAAGATTTTGTTAAATAAAAGATTTCTGTGATTTTGCACAATACTTTTAACTTACCCTCATATCCTGCACATCTTTTTGTCATATTTCGTTCTAATCATTTCATACTTTTGGTGCTATTGTTAGCCTAAAAGGTTTAGCCCGGTGCTGGATGCACAGGGGGGGAAATGGGCAAATGTTTGTTGGAAGAATAAAGGAATAAACTACGTAGGTAGAAAGTAACAATGCAGTAAATCATATCTGCTCCTGCTCCGGACTATTTTTTCTCAGCACTCTGCCATAGAGGAGCAGGTGTGGAGAAAGCGGATGGGTGATGTAATCCAGGGTTCAGGGTTGGTGGGGAAATGTGTGTCTGATTTGGATCATCAGGAAAAGGCTGGGTAAAGAGAAAAGACAGGGATTTCAGAAAGCGCAAAGTGGAAAAACTAGTCAAAGAAAAATTTGGTTCCACTCCCCCACCCCCCCACCCCCCGTGACTTCCTGTCTTCAGAGACTTCAGCTGTCTCTACTTCTGTAAGAGCTGGCGCTTTTTAAAAAATATTATCTTTTAAAAAATTACATGCTTTTATTGGGGGCTCTTACATCTCTTATCACAATCCATACATTCATCCAGTGTGTCAAGCACATTTGCACATATGTCACCATCATCATTTTCAAAGCATTCTCTGCCCACTTGAGCCCCTGATATCAGCTCTCCATTTCTTCCCCCTCCCTTCCCCCCTACCCTTCCTCATAAGCCCTTGGTAAGTTATAGATTATTATTTTCATATCTTGCATCGCCCTCCATCGCCCCTCACTCACTTTTCTGTTGTTCATCCTCCTGAGAGGGAGTTATAGGTGGATCCTTGTGATCGATTCCCCCTTTCTCCCCGCACCCTCCCCTAATCCTCCTGTTATTTCTATTTTCATTGTTGGCCCTGAGGGGTTTATCTATCCTGGATTGCCTGTGTTGCGGGCTCTTGTCTGTAGCAGGGTACATGTTCTGGTCTAATCTGATTTGTAAGGTAGAATTGAGGTCATGATAGTGGGGGGAAGGAAGCACCAAAGAACTAGAGGAAAGTTGTGTGTTTCAGCGGTGCTATACTGTATCCTGACTGGCTCATCTCTTCCCTGTCATCCCTCTGTAGGGGGCTGTCCAATTTTGCCCCCCCTCCTCTACTTTATTCTTATAACTGTTTCTAGCTTTAGTTTCTTTACGGTGACTTTCAAGTTTCTGTTTTCTTGGAATCAAACCCAGGTCACTTTGCTGACACAGCTATGCTTGCTTTCCAAATTGTTGATGGTGAGCAAATTATTTTCACTTCTGTGGGTCATAGTAATGACCTTGTGCGCTGGAGTCAGACTATGTGTGTCTGTGGAGAGGTACTACCCTCTGAGACATGAGAGTGGTCTTCCTGTCTTGACCCAGTGGGAACAATAGAAGCAATACCTTCTAGATCTCATAGTCTACTCTGTATTCCCACTAGATGGTATTGTCTGGTAGTGTTCAGGTCAAAGATGAGATGTGTCTTTTTGCTCTTTCTCTGAGTTTTCTCCCACTTCTTGAACCCCCGGGTGGTCATTAAGTATTTGTTGATTAAGATAGTGCATCCTTGTCGTTCATTGAAGTTTGTGGTAGTTACGTAATCTGTTGTCACTTTGAGACTTAAGAGTGAAGGGGTGGAGTTTAGCCTGTCAGTCAGGTCTCAGCTTGATAACCTCATTTGGAGCCACTAAGGAGATAAAAAGCTCACAGAGGCGGGACACAAGCTTACTTCCTGTGAGACATTTCTGTGGACAAGACACATGGAGCTAGCTATTCTAGAGCCCTGGAGCTGAAGGAGCCATGTGGAGACCCCTGTGAGCACTGAGGTGCTTCCACTGCCAATGGATCCACTAGACTTTCTACCCACTGGCCTGTGAGCTGCCTGTATTCGGCGTCATTGCATGTGTTGCCTGAGTCTGAAGAGGACTTTATAGATTGGTATTGGACATATGGGCTAATATCGGACTAAGGACTTGATTTGGACTGGGCTGGTGAGTTTTCTCAATATTCAATTGTTCTTGTATACAAAGCTTTCTTATACACATATGAGTGTCTATGGATTTGTTTCTCTCATCTACCTGGACTAACACAAAGTTGAATGCCTCCAAAGCACGGATGGCCATGTGTGGCACACAGCAGATGTTCAGTAAATGCTGTCAAGAGCATGCAGATAATCTGTAGGATATTGTTTCATGTCTGCCTTCATTTAGCTGCCCCTCCCAGTCCAAGATTTCAAGTATTTTACTCTCCTGCTCATTTAGGAGCCTGTCTGTCATCTGTATTATGCTTTGAAAAGAAATGTGGGCTTAGAAGTCACAAGCGTAGGACCAAGAATTTCCCCACACCCTTCTCTTACATCTTGACCCGAGCACAATGGTTAAAAACAGGAATCAAGTCCTGCTGTAATACAATGATCTAATTTAGTGACCTATTCAAGTGTTGTTGTGTTGTCAGTTGTCCTCTTAATGTAATTTTTAAATTCAGAATTTAATCCAGGTTGAATTTAGTCTTCATGTCTTCTTTAATCTCTGGCAACTCTTTGGTATAAACCTCTTATTACCTGACCATTTTTAAACAGCATTGGCCAGTCATTTTGTATAAATCCTTTGATTTGGGTTTATCTGTTGTTTCATCTGTGTTAGTGTGAAGGTGTGCACCTTCTACAAGAATACCGCAGAAGTGATGGGTCCTGTATGCACCACAGTAAGAGGGACATGATATCCCTTTCCCGGGGATGCTAATGTGATCATTTAGTGAGGTGGGGTCTGCTGGATTCCTCTACCATAAAGCTGTTATTTCCTCACTTTGTAATTAGTATCTTGTGGGGGAAAGTACTTTGAGTCTATACAGATATCTTGCCATCAAATTTTTACCCACTAACTGAGGATTCTTTCCTGAAACAGTGCTTATTGTGGAGCTTGCCAAATAGTGATTTTCTGCTTCCTCCAGTCCTTCTACATCTGATGAGTTGACATTCTACATTGCAGAAGAGCCTTTCCCTTTTCCTTCACCTACTTTGCTACTTGTCAATTTATGTTATCATTCATGGAATCTTATTCAATATGTTTATTCAGTTAGAATGCCCATGCACTTCATTTGTTTCTTTCCCCCCATAAACTATGAAGAGAGTAACATTGGATGAGTGGCAGAGTGTGTGGAGAAAGATGGCTCAGAGGTCTCCTGTTGCAGTTAGAGGTGTGTCAGACAACTGGCCCAGAGGACTAGCATTCATGGGGTTTATACCAGCTTAATGAACACTTCGCTGAAAGACCAAAAAAGAAAAAAGGTGGTAGATAATCTGAAAATATATTGGCTACCCTCTGTCTTGGGAAATAAAAAGGATTGGTTGGTGGTAATGATGATTACAGTAACTACAATGCTCTCTCTGAGCTTTTAGCAGCTGGGAATGCGCATTGCTTAGGGGTAGAACAAGAAGTGGGTGTATTGAAAATTAATCGACGAAGGGTATTTATAGAGGTCTAAATACAGGCATGTACATATGTAAATATGTTTATATAGGATGGTGGGGAAATAGATCTATGTGCATATATTTATAGATTTAGTATTAAGGCAGCTGGTGGACATTGGACCTCCACTCAAGTACTTACTCAATGCAGGAAAATTTTGCTTTATTAAATTGGCATTCCATGATACTCACCTTCCCGACACGATTGATGAAGACAAATGTGTGCATAAGCAAATGTGGTGAAGAAAGCTGATGGTGCCCGGCTATCAAAAGATACAGCGTCTGGGGTCTTAAAGGCTTACAGGTAAATAAGCAGCCATCTATCTCAGAAGCAACAAAGCCCACATGGAAGAAGCACACCAGCCTGTGTGACCATGAGGTGTCGATGGGATCAGGTATCAGGCATCAAAGAACAAAAAATCATATCATTGTAAATGAGGAGGAATGCGGAGTGGAGACCCAAAGCCCATCTATAGGCAACTGGACATCCCCTTACAGAAGGGTCCCGGGGAGAAGATGAGCCTGTCAGGGTGCAGTGGAGCAACGATGAAACATACAACTTTCCTCTAGTTCTTAAATACTCCCCCTCCCCCCACCCCACACACACACTATCATGATCCCAATTCTACCTTACAAATCTGGCTAGACCAGAGGATGTATACTGGCACAGATAGCAAATGGAAACACAGGGAATCCAAGGTGGATGATCCCTTCAGGACCAGTGGTGAGAGTGGCAATTCCTGGAGGGTGGAGGAAAAGTGGGGTAGAAAGGGGGAACCGATTACAAGGATCTACACATAACCTCCTCCCTGGGGGATGGACAACATAAAAGTGGGTGAAGGGAGATATCGGACAGTGTAAGATATGACAAAATAATAATAATTTATAACTTATTAAGGGTTCATGAAGGAGGGGAGAGCAGGGAGGAAGGGCGAAAAATGAGCTGATATCAAGGGCTCAAGTAGAAAGCAAATGTTTTGAGAATGATGATGGCAACAAATGTACCAATGTGCTTGACACAATGGATGTATATATGGATTGCGATAAGAATTGTACAAACCCCCAATAAAATGGTTTAAAGATAAAAGAAAATTAATCGAAAAGGACAGTTCAGTTCCACTGTCCTGCCACAAGATGGCAGCAGTCAGCCACCGGATTTCGACTATCGGACTTAAATGGTGTCTTGTTTTTGCAGGGACTTCAGTGCCTGTGCTAATGACATTCAGATCGACCAAACAAAGCCTCTGTGGCACAACTATTTCCTATGTGGGTTTAAAGGAATTCAGGTAAATCGGCGTATGAGGCCTCTATTAGCAGTTGAGATGATGCCATGTCTTATGCCAAATGTATTTGCTAAATCACTTCTTTATATGCTATAGATATCACGCCCCCTTTTCTCAAGATTAATTGGTGTTTCTGTTGCTCATTATCTATCTTTCGGGCGCTCGAGTGAGTGTGGCTGCTTCTGGATTGTTTTATAGGGGTGGCCGTGGCCTTTCATACAACTAGTTCCTAAGTCAGGGGCATCTGACAAATGTGCATGTGGTTTTTAGACAGTTTACAGTTTGGTACTATTAGCTAATTTTGATCTATGGATGCATGGGAGTATATTGTCATAGGATTTAAAGTCTGAGTCCAGGTTTTCCCCAGATGTGTTCATTTAACCTCTGAGTCTCAGATTGGTTATTTGTAAAACCATGGCAGGGCTCCATCCCATAGACTTGTTGCAAGAATGGCATTGTCCTTGAAACGTATTAAGCACTTAATTACATGGCGATGTATTATAATGATTTATTTCAGGTGTTGTAAACTATCGGTCTAAGTGTTACTCTAGAAACATCTTTAATGTCATATAAGAACAGGAAGCTGAAATATGTCCATTTTCTCTTAACAGGCTTAAAATGTATAAAAGACAAAAAGAAAATTACTAGTTGCGGTTTTTACCTTCATTTTTACATTTCAACAGTTATTTTAGATGAAGTGACTTGTGTAGAATTGTAAATTAAAAACAAGAAGAGGTGGAATTTTCCATTTTAAGCCCAAACCAATCTTGTACTCTAGAGAGCTTGTGTTCCTTACTGCCTGGTGGTCGTATCTGAAAATTTTTCACAACTCTCTTGAGACTTCGTGGTGTACGCATGACAGAAATGCATCAAATGCGTTACTGATATGCAGTCTTGTGCGGCACTCTGTCGTGGTGCGGAGCTTAGTCACATAGCTCCCTTTCTTGTGTGTAGGTGTTTACTTTTTATTTATTTTTAAAAGATAAATGGCAATAATGACTTTTGGGAAAGTTATTGGAAGCTTTTAAGTCTTCAAATCATCTAGTTTATCATATGCATTAGTGGGGATTACAGTATTTGGAAGCATTTTCCTGGCAAGTACAGTTTGATTTTCTTTATAACAACGTATCTTTTTGTAGCGCATGGGTAAAGTGACCTAAACAATGTATGTTGCTTTGGGTTGTTTTTGAGTATTTTAGGTCTTAAAGCCTTCCCTTTCAGTTTGACAACTTACATATCAACGCAGGTTTGTACAATGAACCTTTGGCAGAAAAAAATTTAAATGTTAGCCTGCTTGGAAACCTCTTACTTCCAATAGTAGAAAGTTCCAGAAGTTAATCTGTTTATACTAAATGAACATGTTATCCTTTTTGGATAGAGCTATTACAGGATTTGGCAAAATCCATTTGTGTTTTTGAATCTGTTGTGTATTTTAACTTAAACATTGCGTGTTACATTGGTAAAGATGAGTCATCTTCAGGACACTGTGTGGATCAGCTTATGGTTAAATACGTAGTATTCTCCAAGGATTATCTTTTCCTTTTTTTAAAGCAAGCTGTCTGATGTTCGGCATGAAAGGGCATTGGCAGCAGCAGTGCCGTCAGCTTATAACTTGCATTTCTGGAAAAGAAGATGACTTGAAGTTAAGAAGAGACATGTCCAGCCGAATCGCTTCCTTTGTGCTGCATGAGTTCTGCCCGCTAGAGGAAAAGGACCAAGCGTAAAATTGAAGGAAAAAAACAGCAGAGCCTTACATTTTCAGGCTTTTAGTGTTCCAACTAGTTTACCGAATTGATTTCCCCTCTAGAATCATAGATATGCTGAAATGCATAATCAGTTAATGTAGTAGCATTTCATACTTTGGTGTTGAGTCTTTGACTCTGGATTTATTTGTCATCCTTAAGCACCCAGGTGATTATGTGCTGCTATCCTAAATGTGTTAGTCCCAGATGGGCATCAGGGGAGCCTACTCTTCTTTTTTGAGGGGGCTTTCCTATTTGTAGAAGTGGTTTCCCTGCTTTGTTGGGTTCTGCATTCTTCCCTGAGGCTGATTTTGCATTTGATTCTCATGGAAATGACCATTTGGCTAAATTGTGTCTAGGAATGCTAGTAAGAACCCGATTTTTCCTTTCAGCTGATGTACGTGAGTCACAATGAGGCTACACTGGCCCAGGTTTCTAACTGCAGTGATGGTCTCAGTCACAGACCTGAGCCCTGCTTCCAGCTCCCTATTTATTTGAAGTGTGATCTCAGGAAAGCCTTTTACTCTCTTTGTACCCAGGTGTGTCCATCAGTACAGCAGAGCGGAGAACATTTTTTCTTCAGAGAACCTTCGGTAGAAAGACCCTCCATGAAAGCAAGCTTTTGCTTGGGTTAAGCATTGACAATCACAGAGACTAGCCTCTCTGATAAGTGTGTGTTTCTTGTCCCGATCTCTGACACCTTGAGCTATAACTGATGTTTTTGTCCTATATCCATTCACAGTGACTGAACATTCAAGATGCGTTCAGGAAATGGATCAGTAGGGTTTTTTGGTTTTGTTTTTTGAACAAAGTGAAAAAGCAATTTTAGTTGAGCCATTAGTTGCAATGTCTTGTATGGCCACAACTCACTTCAGTGGCCCAAGTTGTTTTCATACGTTGTAAATGAAGTCCACGGATAGACGTTAGCACTGTGAGGAATGAGAGAACATTTCTATTACTTCTGCTCTGACCCTAAATTTACTAGTCCTGTTTCTCCTCTATTCCTAGGAACACTTTGGTCTTAGTAACCTGACTGGAATGAATTGCCTGGTCGACGGGAACATCCCACCAAATTCTGGCCTCTCCAGCTCCAGTGCTCTCGTCTGCTGTGCTGGCTTGGTAACACTCACCGCACTGGGCCTGAGCCTATCAAAGGTAGCTAACTCTGAATGTTGCAAGTCTCTTTCAACAACCCTCTTTGTTTCAAAGTCACGGGCAGCTACACCTTGAAGTCACAATGCTGTTGTTTGAAAAGCTTTGTCTTGCATGTATTATCATTTCTCAAGACCTCCTCCTGAGGACACCACTGCGTGGTAGCCTGTGCTTTCCAAACCGTGAACACATCTGTGAGCGAGTGTATGGAGACACGCTTGTGTGAAGCGCGGAGCTTAAATACATGCATAGATTTTCCCATCACCTCATTAACAAGTTAAATTTAGAGCAAGGAATGCTAGGCCTCATAGTTGGGGCATGCTATTTTTGCACAAAACCTTAAATGAAATATTTGACAAGTGTGGGGAAGAAGAGTAAAGACCAAGCAATCAAGGAACGGAGTAGCATTTCTGTTGATGGCAGCAGCAAAGTCACTTAGATAAACATAAAAAAAAAATTCATTAGAAAGAGGAAAAGCTTTTTTAAAACAGACATAAATCTTGCAGGAGGTCAGAAAGCCTCTGTAAGTTCGCATAAATCTCTGACTTTGTAGTTCAGAGCAGGTGTGCTCAGCTTTCATTACTGCTTTGGAGTTGTTTTTCTTTAATAAGATGCTGTAATTAGTTCTTTTTTTTCTTTTATTAGGCATATACTACCGTATTGATAAACACAGGCTTGGCTTTGGTTAGATTAGGAGAAAATCAGGCACATGCTTAGTTTCGTTGAAGCCTGTTTAAATGTTCAGTTTCAAAATGTTATATGTAGAAGGAAAAGAATCCAGGAAGGAGAAAGCAGGAAAATCACATTCTTTCCCCTCGTTGTCATATGGACAAAACTAAAACCAAACCCACTGCCATCGAGTCACTTCCAATTTGTAACCACCAACTGCCACTGAGTCCACTCTGACTCATAGCAGCCCTCCTGACTGCACTGATTGGGACTCATCGCGACCGTGTGTAAAGACCAGTCAACCGGTAGCTGTAAATGGGTAACGTGCATGCCATGGGAGCAGAGGAGCTCAGGTGGTGAGATCCTAGGGCATCTAGGCTGAGACACCAAGAATTCAAAGAGTCATAGATGTCAGTCAAACAGCACTAGTAGAATAAACACGTGTCAGGCAAAATAACCCCCCTGGGGAAATAGCTAGAGGGAAAAAGAAACTGCAGTGAGTACAATTCCGTAGGTGCCGTGGAGTGGGCTCTGACAGACAGGGCTCCCGTGTTTAACAGAATGAAGGACCGCCTGCTCCGGCCCCTTTCTCATAATCTTGACCCTGTTGGAGCCTGTTTTTGCAGCCACTCTATCAATCCATCCTATTGACAGTCTTCTTCCTCTTCGCCCATCTCCCACTTCACCACACAGGATATCCTTCTCCAGGGACTGGCCCTCCTTGATGACATGTCCACAGCACACCATTATGATTGTACTTCTTCTAAGACAGATCTGTTTGTTCTTCTGGCAGTCCGTCATGGCATATTCATTATTTTTGGTCAACAAGATAATTGATAATCATCAATTATTTCCCATTCTCTCTTATTAATTGTCCAGATTTCGCATGCATGTGAATCAACTGAAAATACCATTGCTTGCATAAGGCATATGTCAATCCTCAAAGTGATATTTTTATTACTCAGCACTAAAGATCAATAATGTCCTGGTACATATTACAACATGATTAGACTGTGAAAGCATTATACTCAGTGAAATAAGTCAGTCACATAGAGAAAATGATTGTATGATTCTCTCAATGTGAGACATCTAGGGAAGGGAGAATATTGATAGAAACCAGTGTATCTCAGAGGTTTCCAGGGGCAGATGGGTGGGTGGATGAGAAGACTCACTGCTTAGGAGATACCAAACTTCTGTTAAAGGTGAGGGAAACATTTGGAAATGGATGAAGGTCATGCTTGAACAACATGATAATCATAGCCAGTGCCACTTGATGGTACCGTGAAGGATGTTGAAATGTCAAATGTACATCACAAAAGAACAAAGGAGCCCGGTGAACTGTGCTGAGCAATTTAGACTCCATGCAGATAGCAGTGGGAGAGCTGCAGGGTTTTAGAAGAAAGTGACATGATTCTGGCTACATTTTAGGAGGATCACTCTGGCTGTATTATTAATTCTGGATTTGAGGGTAACGATATTGGCAATATGGCAATGATGTGGACTAGGAAAGTGACAGTGAGACTGAACGGAAATGTACAATAAACTCAAGGCACCTCTCAGTGTGGAGGGGACAGCCGAGAATCAAGTCTTATGCCAGGAAACGGCTTGGTGTGATTCTGAAACTAAGGAATGTAGATGGAGAAAATAGGTGTGAGGGGAAGGGGAAATGTTGAATGTGCGGAATTTTGGGGTGTTCTACTACAGTGATCTTGTATTGAGTTATAGGAAAAAATGCCTCTGAAGGTCCGGAGAGAGAGGTGGACTTGAGGTGGTTGGTATGAGACTCATTAGTAGATAAATGACTATTGAGGTGACATACATGACCCCAACACCACATATCTGGAAGTGGAGTGCCGGTAGCAAGATAAGGAAGATTAAGACAGGGCTCTGTCAGACATGAACACTGCAGACCAGGGCAGGGAAGGAGTGGTCCATTGGAGAGATGGAGGAGCCCCGGGGAATAGGAAAACCAGAACGTGGAGAGAACAACAAAGACACGGAAGGGGATGTTTTCTGAAGGGCATAGCAACAGCATCAAAGGCTGCTGATAAGTTAAGCAAGACAAGGCTGGAGATGGATCCACTGGATTTAGCAACAAACAAGGTAAACACAACTTTGGTAGGGACAGCTCAAGATAGGGCGGGTTCAAGAGTCTGCATCAGCAAGAGGGGGACATGAATAGAAATGGAGTCGGGCTGTGTACGGAAAGAGATAGCAGTGAGAGTGTGGAGTCAATGCATTACTTTTTTTTAGTGGGAGGAATGGTAAATCTTATTTTTTGCATTTCCCTGGCTTTTTGATCGCGTGGCTATCTAAGGGGAGAAAAATTAAAATAAGAAGGAACATGTGAACCTTTAGAATGAATTCTGGAGGCCTGTGTCGTTTTCAAAGTAAAACATCCCAACGGTCTAATGCCTGGAGCTCCGAGGTAACCCTGGCTTTCCCTGAAACTCTACCTTGTGATGACAATGCTGGTATTTCCTAGGACGGAGCGTCCTTTCCTGGAGAGTCTCTGCTGTACTGAGAAGGACTCCTTGCCTAAAGGACACCCCTCATGTGATTAGATTCTTTGAATATAAACCAGCTGTGTATGTACAAATGTTAGCACGAAGAACGCAAGGGACTGTAGCAATGAACCAATTTAAAATTTTTTTTCTTGATATGTCATTCAGTGGCACGGTAGGAAACCCATGGCCCATGGCACATAGAGTACAGCTTGAAGATGTTTTCATGAAGAAACTGCTTACAGAAGTGTGTGCAGGGCCCAGGGAACCCAACAGGAACAGCGAAGTAAAATCATGTGACTTCAGGAACTGTGATTGCAGTGCTGGCTCACCAGCAAAGCCTCCTGGCAGGGAAAGAGGGAGGCAAATGGGGTGAGAAGGGTGGGGAGGGGAGTGAAGGGAATTGTCCATAGAGGACAGGCTCTAAAGATAGAGAGACGTGTGAGAGAGGAAGGGCAGCGAGCTAGCAAAAAAAATAAATAAATAAAATAACCAGCCCATTTGACAAAACTAAGTCCTTTGAGAACGTGGGTTACTAGCTCCCTCTCTGTGTACCTCGTTTTAATTGCAGACAGTTCCTGTGAATGGCCTATGATAAGCAGCTCTGGAACTTGTTAATTCATTAATAAACTAGAAGCAGCATGCCTGAAATGAGCAAAACGAGATGCCCAGGCATCCCAAAAGTCTGGCAGCCAAGAATAGTGAATTAATGTGACCGGTAGAAGAGTATGTTGTGGTTTAAAAGAGAGCAAGAGAGCGAGAGAGTGAGAGAGAGAGACCCCCAAGGACATATTTTGTCTTTGTTTCACTGCCCCTCTTCCAACCATCCCTTTTAAGGATCATCCCTGAGCAAAAGGAAAAACAAGAAAAGAAAGTACAAACTCCATCTTTGTTGAATCAAGGAGACATAAATAACTACAAACCACAAGATACAAGGATGGAAAGTGGATGGCAGAATAGTGCATGACTTAGCAGAGAGGGAAAGGTCAGAGCTAAGTGCCTTGGGAGGGCAATGCAGCCGGGAAACGAGCTGACTCATTCCATGGCTGGTGAGTGAGGCCGGCTCAGGAATTAGAAGCACTTGGTATGTATCACAGAAGGCAAGATGATATGGTGGGTAGTGATTTATTCATCAGTCTTTCTGAGGAGCAAACCAAGCCCTCAGAACCCCACACTTCCTTGTCAGTCAGGGAACCATTTCTCTCCAGCTTTGCAGGAGCCTCTGGAAAAACGATCAGGGATCTTCTGGACTTAAGGGACACACAGACACTGCAAGAGACAGAACAGAATTGAGAAATACTCAAGAACATTCTGCACCTAAACAACGAACTTCCTAGCTCCACTCCTGGCCAGTGCTAGCCCATAGTAGCCTCCCCACTCCAGGGATATGGGAAGGTCCTTTAGAGAGGAATGGGGCCATCCATGAGAAACACCTACTGATTCTCATGTGTGGTTATCCACTCTCCCCCAAATTGTTCAGCTACTCCCTCACTCCATTAAAAGTTCATTTGCCAAGCTTCTTATCAGCATTTTTGTGACTCTTAAGTATGATAAGACATCAAAGAATAATCAGGCTTTGAAAGGACGGGTACACTGGCACAGAGATCAAGCAAGTCTCAAAAACAGGAGACAAAGAAAGAGTACAGAAGAAGCAGAGCTAATGCCGGGAGCAGAAGAATTCTTCACAGAAACCTGAATGTTTTCAGATAAGAGAAAATCTTCAAAAACAAAGATTGCTATTTTTAAAAACAATGGAATAGATAAAAGGTGAGTGGCTTTGGATATTAACATATGATAGTTGAAACAAATTCAGTACAAGTATTGGAAGAA